AACCGAAAGACGTGCTATTCAGTGGTATACGGACTGTTCAAAAACCATAGATGGAACTGGAATAGGAGTGTATGGGACGAGAACCAAGCACTCCGAAAGCTTGGGAAAATACCCAAGCAACTTCCAGGCGGAAATTCACGCCATCGAGAGAAGCTATCATAGACAAGAGATTATCATCATGTCCGATAGTCAAGCAGCCATCAAAGTGCTGAGCTCTTACGTAATCAGCTCAAAAATGGTCTGGAGATGCCTAGAACTCTCACTTGGGTCCCAGAACATAACGGGGTACAGGGTAACGAGATTGCAGATAGTCTTGCAGGGAAAAGGGCTCAAACACCCTTTGTAGGACCTGAGCCGTTCTGCGGTATCAGCAGTAACATAATATTAGGAGAGATTAAAAAATTATTGGGCAGTAGAAGAACCGATAATTGGAACAACCAGAAAAGATCGGAAGCCTGCATCTGCCTGAGCAAGAACAGGCTACGTATTGTAACAGGGATCCATACCGGGCATTGCCGACTAAAAGGACACCTAAGTAAACTGAAAGTAGTAGAGGATAGTGAGTGCAGATTCTGTGAGGAGGATGACGAAACCTGCATTCACATCCTAACTAAATGTGTAGCTCTCCAGAATCCAAGGGCACTATATCTAGGAGGATATCAAATAGAAGAGGGAGATTTACCTAACTTGAAGCCACTTCAAATCCTACACTTCCTTGAGAAAATAAGATTGGAAGGGTCGTTATAGGCATGGAGACATTTCCTTGGTGCATTGGCGACAGAAGAGGGCACAATAGATCTTTAAGGTCGCAGTGTATTAATACCCCATTCCCAACAGACCATAACATAAGTATACATACAGTAATTAATGTATATGTGTGTATATATAAATTAAAATAATAAACTATTTGAAATAAACAATCCGTTGAGTTCAGTTTAGTAGTTTGTGCATAGGGAGAAAATAGTAGTTTGTTCAACAAGAGTATATATGAACAATCCACTCGAGTTGTACAGTATATTTGTTCTACGACTCGCTAACAAAAAACTGCAAATTTAAAAAATTATTTTAGGTCATTAAAACAAAATAACTAATTAATAAAATAAAATAAACATGAAAAAAAAAATTAATTTTATTAGTACCCAGCCCAGATACGATCCCGGGTTTTTCGCGTGGAAGGCTCGTTTCTCGTTCGACACCTCCATTCCACTTTTAGAATTTTAGTTTTAATAATCATAATTAAATTAGTTTCATACAGTTTGGTTTTTTTCTAAATATGGACCAAATAACAATAAAAATGCTATTATTTATCGATTCTACACAAAAATAACTCATTTTAATGTACATTTAATCTTGATAACTAAAAAATATACTGACAATTAGTTTGCAGAATTGTTACTTATGTAAAATTTTAAAAATAATAGTAGTTGCGGGTGTCCAAAATATGAACGATGATTAGTGGATTTTATTTTTTTGCAGTGATCTCACTACCTAGAATGGATTTGAAATATATTCGTTCAGTTGAACGCAATAGCATACTTTTTTATTTTGTAGTATATGCGTTGATTAGCTAATATCTATGTGGGTGTAGAACAAATATATTTTACTGGACTTTTGTTTATTTCATGGTCTGTTTTTCAATGTATTTTTCAAGCCTCTAAGTTACTTGTTTTATTGTTTTTTTATCAATCTTCAGTTCTATTGAATTCCTTTTCTTTTGGTTACCTATCAGATATTTTGTTTTAATCGTCTTAATAGTAATTTATGATTTCGTAATTATTGTTCATCTTAAATCTTCAATAAATCTTGCCTTTTCTTGTTTGAGTCCGAGATCAATCAATTTTTAAATCCGTCTCTGTTGATCATGGATTTAGTACCCCACACTAAAATGGCCCTTGTGTTCTTTGTTTTGAAATGGGTGCACAGCCGACGGGTGGTGATCCGGTATAACGAGACTATAGCACAATCGAGCCAAAGATTTATCCCATTAAAAATATAAGCGAATACTCAGCCAATTTACCTAACAGATCGTTATCTTATATTCGCCAAATGATCTAGAGTTTTCGAACATATACTGCTCCACAAAATTAATCACAAATTGGTAGTTTTAGTTTTAAAATTCTTTTATGTACTAATAGGGATAATTTTTTAAGCAAGGTCTGTTTAGAAAAAAAAAGTCATATTCATTTAAATATCATTATATTAATTTTTTTTTCTGGATTCTACTTTACAAACCTACATAATTTTCAATTTTGTTTAAACATTTGCCATATCTCTTGACAAGCTTTTCAATTCCCCCGTGGGGACAGAGAGGAATTCCAAGCGTCTGCATTTTTCACTTCTTCGTAGTCATCAAAGAGATTAATTTGTCGTACCCTTCTCAATTTCCACTTTCTACTTTGTTGAATAAGAATTTATTATACATTAAAATACACAAATAAAAATTTTAAAATAAATTATTAATATGCAAAAATGGATAATTCAATATCGTATCATATTTGTCTAAATTTTTAATCATATCTTCCATAATACTCTCTCCTAATACAAACGCTATTAATACAAGTTGCAGTGAATACAGGAGACGTCAAAGTCGTGATAGACTGTGTATTGGTCTAAAGCAATTTGACTTTTTAAGTACAAAAGATACCGCCGAAAGTTGAGTAGCTGGTAAGAATACGCTTTGACTATGCAAAAACTTAAACTAAACAAGACTTCTTTTATACAATTTATTGTGTTGTCCTGGTAACGGTAACGAAATAATCTGATTTTTCTAAAAATCATTAGTGTGCAATATTCCAATGAATTAAATATTTAATAATTTTAAATATATAGGTAAATAAGTTCTTAGATTAGATATTTAATTGTAGAGCAGTGTAAAATCGTGAAAAGTCACAACCCTCTGAATTTATGCTTTTTTTAGGCCACCGTGACCGTTATTTTAATTTGAGTGATTAATTTTAATTTGCGCAAAAACAAATGAATTCATTAAACGCATCAAACGGACCGAAATATTTTTCGGAGGCTGCAGATAAGGGTTTCGCGATTTTTATCACCAACGACAACGACTCCATGGTGGAAGAGACGCATTTCAGCTAATTGGGGAGCTACCGTCTTCGGTCTTTACTAACCTCATGGAACCAATTTGTTTTATTTTTACAAGTTGATAACAAACTGGTTTTTATTTATTTATTACACGTATTCAAATTAACTAATACGCATTTAAGGTAATTAACACCAAATAAATGGTTACACAAAAAAAAATTAAACAGTGTTAAAAAAGTGAATTTATAATTTTCAACTTTTTACATTTAAAGGGTACCCGGGAAAAAAAGGCTAAGTCAATTTTTGGTCGAAATGAGATAGCAGCGCCATTCTATGCCAAATCTAGGTACTTATCGAGCCCCATATTTATTCAGGGGAAAAACAGGCTAGGCTTCACAAAATAAATTGTTTTAAGACACGCATGCATGGGAATAACAGGCTAAGTCCTCGCGGTTCTGGGGAAAAACAAGTCAAGTCATGTCGCTCGTGATGATTCAGATGTTTTACTGTTTTGCTATTTTTTACATAGGTATATTACTATTTCTCAGTGTTTTGATGTTCGGACAGCGTTATAATTTGTTGTATTTGTTTATATTCATTCCGGTTAATAATGGAAAGTGCTAGTGATACGGAAAGTGTCATGTGAAAAACAATACAAAAAAAGACCAATACAGGGAAGAATAAGTGATGCAAGCAAGAAATTGCGTTTGCAAAGCCAGAGAAGTGTTATTGTAAACGTTTAAACTGTTCTACAAAAATACCCGAATAGCTAAACTACAAATTTTAAGCGACTTTAATAATTTACCGTCGAGAAATGAATAAAACTTAGTGTTCTACCTGTTCAAAATAGCCGACCAAGACACACTGAGAATGAGGCCTTCCTTGAAGATTGCAGCGTTAAGTACAAGGTAAGATATCCTCTTGAATATAGTATCACTGAAACTGCTGTAAAGTATGTCGCTAATTGACCTGTTTTTGGATTTTTTTCAAAAGTCGATTATTTTAGAAATAATGAATTTATTCCATACATTAGCGACATACTGTATATGGCTTTGCACGGAATTACCAAAATGAAAATTGAATATCTCTTAAAATCTTTAAAAGAGCGCGGCTCTGCCCCTCGAGACAAAAGAGGTATTCATGAAAACCACCCCAAAAAATTAAGCTCCGAAACTACTAACAAAATCAAAAATCATATAGCGTCATTTAAAGGCCGTACTAGTCATTATAGTACAAAAGATACTGCTAAAACCTATTTACCAGAAGAGTTGAACCTTAAAAAGTTGTTTAATTTATTTAAGAAACTTCATCCGGAATGCATTGTTTCGTATGAATCATACAGAAAAATCTTTACAAGTTGCTTTATAACATCTCATTTGGATATCCTAGAACGGACACCTGTAGTATTTGCGATACATTTCTAGCTAACGTAGAATGTTTGCAAAATAATATAGCTAGTGAACAGAATAAGACCACCAGAAAATCGCTGGAATGTGACTTTAAAAAGATTGCCACTGAGAATAAAGTACACAAGATTAAAGCACAAGAATTTTATATCAGGCTAGTCGCCAGGATCTTAAAAGGGAGTCTGTTTGTATAGACTATGGAAATAATTTGCCTGTGCCGAATATTACGACAAATGACGTTTACTATAAGAGGCAACTCTCTATGTATTTATTCAACGTACATGTCCTTTCTACAGGAGCAAGTTTTTTTTATGTTTACCCAGAAAATATCGGAAAAAAGGGAAGCGATGATGTAGTTTCTCTATTAAACGATTTTTTATACAATTATCTAGATCCTCAAATTCGAAGGTTGGACATATTTTATGATTCTTGTGGCGGCCAAAACAAGAACTACACATTTTTCCGTTTTCTGCATTACATGAACAAAAACGCTTGGATTCTGTAAAAGTTACATTCCCGATAAGAGGTCATTCATACATGGAAAACGTCAAGAATATGGGTATTTTAAACCATAAAGCAAGATTTGAAACACCAGATGACTTATGTGATTTAATAAAAAGCGCAAGAGCTAAACCTTCTCCATTTGAACTATTTCAAATTAATCAAACAAACCAGTACATTTTTCAGCAGTGGACGAACCACTTGAGTAAATATTACAAAAAGAAATGTCCTTTTCCAATTCGTCCAATTAGAGAATTGGAATTAACCAAGGAACATCCGCGTTTGATTAAATATAGGGATTCTTATAATGGTCATTGGGTGAGCGGAGTTGTAAAAAATAAGATTATGAAGAGAGCAGCGCCCGGGGCAAAACTCTTAAAGGATAATGAGTTTGTTTTTGCTCCTTCTAGTTATGAAGGTTATTTATAATAAATTAAAACGTTCCTTTTATACATAATGTATTCTTTAAGGAATATTGAACATATCTGCAGAAAAGGTTTTAGATCTCCAATGCCTGAAACGATTTTGTGGTCCAAAGGCTCAAGAATATTTTTCTTCTCTTCCACACACCTGATATGTTTGCTCGAACTATAAGATGATAATTTACGAAGGCGTAGAAGGGCCACATAGTAAAAATAAAAATATTTCGACTTTAAAGTCGAAATTCCGACTTCAAACTCGAAATTTTGACTTTAATCTCGAAATTTCGACTTTTTTCTCGAACTTTCGACTTTAATCTCGAAATTTCGACTTTAATCTCGAAATTTCGACTTTATTCTCGAAATTTCGACTTTAATCTCGAAATTTCGACTTTAATCTCGAAATTTCGACTTTAAACTTGAAATTTCGACTTTAATCTCGAAATTTCGACTTTAATCTCGAAATTTCGACTTTATTCTCAAAATTTCGACTTTGTTTTCGGAATTTCGACTTTAATCTCGAAATTTCGACTTTAAACTCGGACCATTATAATAACGGGGTAGGTCTATTGTTTTTGGACTGATATTGTTTCATGTTAATCCAAATTATTGTTTTATTCCAAGAATACAATTTTAGTTCCTATTGTTTTAATTTTGTTTTAATATTCTATAGTTTGTTTTTTGGTTTTTAATAAAAATTTTACACAGAATTACAATTTTTATTTCCTTCAAACCTTATAAGCAAATATACAAAATAACATGTTTAATATAGTAATACAATGTTAGTTATAAATATCTTTTAATATAGTTCTAAGTCGAGAATAAAGTTCGACTGCATCATACGGGTCACATTTATGTGACAATCCATTTTCAAGCATGATTATATTACATAAACGGTAAAAATCTTCATCACATGGGAATTTTAAAATTGTACATTCTGTTGCAAGGGCATCTATAGCAAAAGTTGGTACTTCGAGCAGATAACTTTTTGTTTGAAACAACGTTGGCATTTCATACATAATACATGGTCTGCCAAATGGCATAATACTATTTCTTGAACTTCTTATTTTGTGAACATTCCACTCGAGCATAATGCGATCAAGGTCTCTCTAAAAAATATAATTACAATAATATGGAAAGAAGAGAAAAAAGTAAAGAGGCATATATAATTATTTCTTATTATTTAGAAAAAAATTGTACTTTTTATTGTGATATAGTATTGAATTAGGCTAAAACTATGCCAGTTTGTAAATTATTTGATTATTTTGTATTTACGTTTAATTTGGGAAAGATATAGAATGCTTGGTCAAGTGACCAAGTTTTTGGTTTACATGAATTTTTCTAGCGCTCTAATTTGTGGTCTTTGTTCAAATAACTATAAACATTATTGATATGTCAAATAAATATTTTAAATTGTTTTTACCTGTACGAGGTTCATAAAAAAATACTGAATTAATGATTTGTCCGTAAATCCTCCATCAAACAAGTTTTCTTCTTTAAGCATCTCAAATAAGTTCATCCAATATTATGCATTATGTTTTCGAACTATTGACCACCAAGCCTCAATTCTTTGATTATGTGTACTTCTTCCGTATAAAAATGGTAGCATTGTTAAGATAGATTCATTAAATAATTCATGTAAAGCTTTTTGAATACGTTCAGTTACAATATTTTCAGTGCCTTGATCACTTCTTACAGTTCTTGGACATCCACCAACCATTTTAATTGATTCCATGTAATAACCACCAATCACCTATAAATTCGAAGTATATTTAAGCTAAATTAAAAGAATTACCCAAGATACCAACCTTACAACAGCGCTAACTTAAAACTAGAAATTTTTACTTAGCTTCTTTTTCCCGTGTACTCTTCATTTGATTAATTTTTGTACTACTAATTTTTCTGTTCAAACTATAGGCACGAGTATGGCAATAATTTTTTTTAGGTTGTTAAGGTATAAATTGGTAAAGGTGTAAATTTGTGAACCTAACCATTAAAACGCTTATTTGATTTAATATTGACGACAGTTCGAGAAGGTTCGAGAAGGGTCAAGCAAGCTACATAAGTATGATCCTGACGTCAGTTTTCAGTATGAAGACTAGAGAGAAGGAGGCGAATCGGCAATGGTCAAATTTCAAATTTCCGTCCTTCTTTTTATAAAGTTCGCGAAATTCACTGTAGTTGGCATGTCAAATGACAGCGCAGTCAATTTTCTATGTAAAGTGATTTTTAAAAAAATTGATAAGAATCAAAATAATGTGAAAAAAAGTACCTGAGTACAAGTAGCATGAGTGACAAAAAACATCAAAGCAAGATTTACGTCGTTTCAGATTGTAAAACAGGATAAAAATTAAATGAAAAACTAAAGAAAACACAAGAAGAAATCAATTCAATGTCTTTTTAAAGCTTTTAATTTAAGTAAAATAATGTATTCATGTCTAAATATAATATTTATTGTAAACTAGTTACAATATGTATCTTACGAAGTGTAGTTTATTTTATTATAAGTTTCTATAACATAAAATTTTACAGTTATAGATGCTGACTTACAAACAACAATAATTATGCAATAAATTTAACTTACTAGAGAAGAAAATTTATTTTTTTATAGAGTTTTAATGTTAGATAAAGAGTTGCTACTGTTATTTTTTATTTGACCCCAATTGTGTCATTGTAAATGTTTTTTATAGGATACTGAACGTTTAAAAAAGTGGCAGTATTTATATCGTTCCTAGTGCCGATAAAGCACTTTCTAGAGATGATATTGTTCTATACTTTTTATAAGATATTATCAAATATTATGAAACTATTTTTACTGATGATACTGTTAGCAAAATAAAAAGGGGAAAGCTAAAATTAAAGGATGAGGTAATACCATGTACATTCCCAAATCTCCCTTTATACTTGTATTACAACAATAAAAAATCTGTTAACTGTGTTTTATTTTACTCTTAAAACTATATATTGGTTCAATTAAAAAAAAATTGCCATACAATTGTATTTATCAAATTTCAGCAATTAAGAAACCTTTTCGAATTTGGTCATACATACCTAATTTGTATTTTATATAGATAAAATTGAATAATTTATCAATTAAAACATGCAAGACTTATTTAGAAATAAATACAATAGTATGTTCTGTGCTTTATTTAGCTGTAAACAATTTTATTTTTATTATTTTGACAAAAGTATATATAATTCCCATAAGAAGCCATGTATTTTGGACAACGTATGCAGTGCCAGCACCCATGTAGGTAATTATAGAAGCTAAAAGCTCAATTAGCATGCTTTTTTGGGACTGTATTTTTAGTATACCGATTCGTCTCCTTATCTCTGGTCTTCATAGTTTTCAGTTTTATGATAGACGTTACATGTTAATGTTATCAGTTGTATAATTTTTGTTAAAGTTGAGTTGAAATAAATTTTGATACCAAAAAACCTGCGTAACAATACCATGAAGCAGCATGGGAGTTATTATAATTTTTTTAACTTAGATTAAATAACATATATTATAAAAACAAAAGAAACTATGTCCCTCACATGAGAATAGTTATGAAAAATTCACCATTCGTTTGATTAATAAATAGATAGACATCGCATAGAATGTTTTCTGTTTTAACATCACCTGAGCATCTAGCTGATTGGTCAATTGTTTGACAGAATAATATACAGTGTGGAAACAAATAATATTGTTCGGGACACATTGAGAATCCAGTATTGCCAGGCATAGATAATGTATTTCTAATGGGAGACCGGCACAGTGTGTTGCCGTCTTTACGATAGCTGTGAGAGAGTTGGCCCAGTAGTAGTCAATGTATTTTTAGTTACTCATATGAGGACCATTTGTCCTTCTTGATGTCTAATTTGACGGCATTCTGCAGAAAGGAAGCAATCCACAAATTTGTGATTTTTAGACTTTCGCATAATATTGCATTAAAAACCGTAACCTTTACTGCAAAAAAAAAGATCCAAGCCTAGCGTTATTTGTTAGCCAACGAACCACTCGACTAATGCCTGCCTGCAGAAGAAATTTAAGCGGCTTGGTTGCTTTCTACATAACAGAGAACAGAGTTGGCGACAGTTGGTTATTTGGCTCTCTGTGAGAATGAGTGCAAAGTATTAAAAATAAGAAAACCCATATATTTTTGTTATACAATATGGATAATATTAGCATATCTTAAAAAATTGTTCTATTGACAGAAGCTATTGGATAGGAGAAGGAGAGCCCAACTTTCGGTCAGGTAATTCGTATATTAAGATATTCAATAAAAAAATAGAGGTTGAGAATAATAAAGTTAGCTGTTTATAAACACAATTTTCAATTTTTATGAAAAACAAATTTTGATATTTTGTCTTCTCCACATACCTTCGTAGATTTCATTTTTTAAATTATTTCGTTAATTTCTAAGGGTATTGTTTCTAACTTAAATATTATACATAAATTAGACACCGTCCCAAAATTTGACATATTTATATAAATCGTTACAAAATAAGACACCTGTTCCTGTAAGATTAATGTAATGTAAATATGTCATTGGTCTAAACCATTCGCGAGTATTTTTTAAAATCTCCTACATATTTTTGATGGATAGTATTTAGATTCGGAAACCTAAGACATTGCTAGTGCAGGTATTCCAGTGAATCGACTACAGTGTGTAAGGTTTGCTCTAAGTTAAGGGACGATCAGCCATTATTTAAACTTGCCAACTACACGTTCGCGTGAGTTAAATAAATATGTTAATTGTTTTATAGTAAAAATGTAATAATAAATTAGGTATTTTGTTACATTTTTTCGCTATATTACTTCTCCAAATAGAAAAAACTGTAAGATATGTAGCTGTTAGGCTATCTGTCAGAGGCCACCTCAGTTGGTAACATTGAATAAGTTGGCATCACTGCTTGGACAATTTGACAATGTCATTATTTTTATGTCATTCGAGTTAGTTGTTGATTTGATTATGATTATGTTGGTTCGCACACGTTATGTTAAGAAATAAAGAGATTTTATGAAGAAATCCTTTTAATTTTATTTGAAATTAGAGCCATCCTTACAAAACTTAATGTCGAATTTAAGGACAACCGAACAACCTGTGGTTTTAAGTTCGACACGTTCATTTTATTTAATTAGTACCATCTCTCTCTAAGCATCGTTATC